AGCCGAGACCAAGTTCAAATTAAATCGAAAGCAGAAGGCTGCGGGCGACCCGGTCCATAGGGCGCCTCCTCCTGGGCCAGCGGACCCAGCTTCGGAGGACTCCCCAGCCTCTTGCACTGGGGCTGAGTTTGAGTAGCGGGGCACCAGGTCTGCACGCTGGCCACACCTCGGCCCTGGAGCCGGCTCTGGGAGGCATCTCTGGGACTGCCTCCAAGATCAGGTAGACGGGGCTTAGCTGGATGGCATGATGCATTCATTCTAGGGGGGACTGTAGGAGCACCATTGTCAGGCACTGTGCTAGGTGTCTCCAGGGTCTTCACCACTGTGGTGCATGTATCTCACCCATAACCATAAACAGACCCCCTCCCCAAAGTTTTGTAGTTTTTAAAAATATGTTTACTGATTGGTTGATTTGAAAGACAGAGAGAGACACCAATTTGTCATTCCACTTGTTTATGCATTCATTAGCTGGTTCTGCATTCATTTGCTCTGACTGGGATCGAAACCCCCCCAGCCCCCCCGCAACCCTGGCATATGAGGACAACTGAGCTACCCGGCCAGCGCCCAAAGTTTCAAAACTAAAGAAAGTTTATTCACAGGAAGCATTGTGCATGCACTACCGTACATTTTAAAATGCTCAAGTGTATGTTAGGAGAATTTCACCTCAATTGAAAAAGAAAACAGACCATCATGGAGAAGGTGCAGCTCTAGCTTTTCTGTATTTCCCCGGGAGGGCAAGTGCAGCCCTGCCCTGATGTGATCCTGCTCCCCAGAGGCTGTGCGAGGCTGGTGGCTTACTGCCCCTCCAGCGCCCTCCTGAAGGTGAATCTTCCCGTCTGTGCCCTCTCCTCATAGCTGCAAAGAAGTCAACAGCCACCTTTTCACCCCAGCCCATACCACCCTCAACATATTAAATGTGGCCCCTCTTGAGGAAGGGGTTGAGGGCTTCCTCCCTGGGGTTGAGCCCCTGTGAGCACAGACCTGACCCTCATCCTGGACAGTCTGGGTCCCAAGAAAGAGGTTTCAGCCAAGTTCCTTGTCCCTGGAGACTAGGAGGGGCCTGAGGAGACAGAGGATGGACATGGTTGTGGCAAAGATTACCAATGAGTCTCTTCTGTGCTTTCCTCCTCCCTCCCCAAAACAGGTTAGCTTCCATTTTGGAAAGCCTATGAGGGCAACAGGGACAGAGAGCAAGAACTCTTCCCCTAAACCAAGGCAGACTGGGCACTGGAAAGAGCAAAGAGTGACAATGACGATGGAACCTGGTGGGGAGGAGGGAGGCTCAAAGACAGAGTCCCATTGTACATGGAGGGGAAGGAGGGCCATAAGCCCTGTCCTGTGATACTGACTGTGCTCAGCCACGGGATCTGGGGGAGAGATGCTCGCCCCCTTAAGGTCAGCTGAGACCCGGAGTCCCTGCTCAGTCCCAGAAGGACAGGAGCAGACAAAAGACAAATAGAATTTGCAAAACCACAAGAGAAGGAAAAGCAGTCCAGTTCCTCGCAACCCTGCTCTAGACTACAACAGGGCCACAGAACAGAAATGGCAATGATGGGAGAGGCAGATGGCCCTTAACCAGGGTCCTGGGTGCTCGGCCCAGGGAGGCCTCATGTCGCGGTTAATGCTTCCAGCAGAACAGTAATCCAGTGACATGGCAAGGCCCACGAGGGACACTTAGCAGTCTGGCCCACCACCCTACACCGCTGTGAAGGTTTTGAAATTTCCATGTGCCAAGGCTCCCAGAAAAGTTTTGTTCTTGAGACCTGTGACAATGAACGGAAGAAGGGGGAATAAAGAAAAACAGGGAGGCTTCAACTTTCTTCTCCAAACATGCACTCTCCACCCCTCCCACAACTCAGGCCACAAATGGGAGAATCCAGGGCGTGCTCAGGGAGAGAAGGGCCCAAGGCCGAATGCAAGAGGAGAAAGCACCTCACAAACGTAGGGATCCTGAAGGGTCTTTATTGCCTACCAGCCACCATCAGTGTCCCAGCCTCATGCTGGGCTCTCCCCTGAGGACCTGGGGAATGTGGCCACAGTCCAGCTCTCTCCTTCCAGGGGATCAAGGTACTTCCTGGGGCAGACAACGTAGCAGAGGGCCTCAGAGTGAGGGGCAGAGGGCTGAGCAGCATTCCCTGTGGAGAAGGACGGGAGAGGGGGCCCTTCTTGACGCCCACCATGGAGGGATGTCTCGAAGAGGAGGGCAGGGCGGTGTCATCCTAAGAGGGAATGACACCAGAGGCAAAGAGCACAATGAAGAGGATGATGATAAAAACAATCACACAGATGAGGACAATCATCTTCACGTTCTTCCACCAGAACTTCCGAGCCACCTTCTGCGATGTTGTCTTGAAGTGCTCAGACTGTAGGGAATAAGGTAGAGTGATTCAGTTCCTCCTCCCACTGGAACAATAGTACAAATACAGGCCCCCACGCCATACACCTACATATTTAAGTGATAAGCTGAAGTAACAGACTGCTAAATAGAAAATGTCCTGTCCTCCTACCTTGACAAACATACCTTCATAACCCTCTGGTGGGCCAAGTTTAAATTTAGAAATCTTGGACTCCCCCTGGCCACCTGCCTACCCCCTTCTCTTCTTACCCCTGCACTGTCATGCACATGGTGGGGACTTTCACACATGCTCACACCCAGGGGTGTGACACTGGCAGAGCAATCCACCCCTTAGGAGGGTAGACACTGGGGCCAAGGAGAACAGAGTCAGGTTCCATGATTCCTGGCCTCCTGGGGACTGCTGAAGTTGGAGGAGAGGGGCCAGGGCGATATGGTGGTTGGAAGTGAGGGAACATGCTTTCTCTCCAACCTGGGGTTGCAGTAACTAAGTTTCATGCTCCCCAGGTTAGGCTGTGGAAAGCAGCACTAAGTCCCAAGGAGACAACAGAGCTGTGCCCAAGATTACACATAGGACTCAGAAAGCCCCAGCCTGTCGGTCCCCTTGGACGAGGAACTTAGGCTCCAGCCTTTGCAGAACTTTAGAGGAACTCCCTTCCTGAGCACCTGGCTGGAGACAAAGAAGAATGAGGTCAAGCAGATGTGTGGGAGATGTTATTCTAGCCTTCAGCTCACACAGGACCCCATCAGAGAATGTCACTGCCCTTCCCAGCTTCTTTTTAAAGCTGACTCAGCAAGACTCTAGCAGTTTTCACCCCCTGCCTCATAACTCCCGGAGAAGGCCAGAGGGCCTTAAGAGGACTTTCCAAAGCCAATATTTTGCCCTGGGGAGGTCAGGTTCAAATGACTGCCAAGGGCAGCTTTCAAAAGGAAAATCAACTTCGCAGAAGAGAAGCCGAAGAGTGCCTACCTAGATTCTTAGAAAACGCCTCCATGGGTCAGCCCCCACCCACCAACCCCGGTCATTGGACCTATTCCCTGGGCCCGTGCCAATCAGTGGAGTAGAAGGGGATCAGAAGCGAGGACTCGGCTAACATCAATTCCCAAAACAGGTGAAGAGGCAGACTTCCCTCCTGTTCATTTTGCTCCCAACACCACCAACCCCCAAATTCCCAAAGATCCTCCCTCCCTCTCTTCCTCTTGTCCCCAGTGGGCTCCCCATCTCACTGTGGCTTCCAGATCCTCTGTCTTGTTGCGAAGGTGGTCCAGGTTTTCTCCTCGGGCCAGGATCCGCTCCACATTCTGGGTCATAATATTCTTGACTCCCTCCACCTCACTCTGGAGGTTCCGCACGCGGTCATTTCCTTCACCTCCACTGGCCTCCTCCTAGGCAGCAACGCAGGGGTTAATTAAGCCAAGTGGCAGAGGAACTGAGACGCAGCATGGAGGCCAGAGGAGGGGCATGTCTAAGGTGGACTTTAGCTTTTGGCCATGCTTGAGTTGTTTACAAACAGAATGTTTTCAGGTTCTCAGGGCCTCTGCCAATGAAAAGAAGCACACCACGGAATCCCTCTCTACTACTCCCTTGCTCCTCAAAGAAGGTCAGAGAAGACAGCTGAGCTGGCATTGCAAAATGCAAAACCCCACCATTTACCAATTCCCAGATCCTACAGTGTCCTCATTAAAAACGTCTGTGCTGGCCCTAACTAGTGTTCAGTGGTTAGAGCAGGGGTGGGCAAACTTTTTGACTCGAGGGCTACAGTGGGTTCTTAAACTGGACCAGAGGGCCGGAACAAAAGCATGGATGGAGTGTTTGTGTGAACTAATATAAATTCAAAGTAAACATCATTACATAAAAGGGTATGGTCTTTTTTTTTTTTTTTAGTTTTACTCATTTCAAACGGGCCGGATCCGGCCCGCGGGCCATAGTTTCCCCACAGCTGGGTTAGAGCATCAGCCCAAGGACTGAAGGGTCCCAGGTTCAATTCTAGTAAAGGGCATGCACCTTAGTTGCAGGCTCAATCCCCTGACCCCATCAGGGAGCGTGTGGGAGGCAACCAATCAATGTTGGTTGCTCTCACATCGATGTTTCTCTCTGTGTCTAAACCCCTCCCTTCCATTCTCTCTAAAAATCAATGGAAAAAAAAATATCGTCTGGTGAGGATTAACAACAACAATAAAAAATGTCTGCGCTGGCCAGTAGAACACCCTCACCTGGCACAACCCTCCCTCTCTCCACGGGGGGGGCAGCTGGAGAGCTGTTCTGGCCCCTTCCTCCTGGGCAGTCCAACTGCTGTGACCCAGAACGCCAGCAGCCAGGCTCCAAGTTCCTCACAAGGCCCATGACAGCAAGCCGTTGGGCCACAACTTCTGCTTCTCCCCGATCCCCCATTTAGCGCCATGTGCAAGCGTGTCAAACTTGCGGCCGGCGGGCCACATGCCTTGTTTATTTGGCCCCTGTTAGCCTTTGAGTTTGACATGCTTGTACAGGAACCAAACAATCACCAGTTAAATTGATATTAAGTAAAAACAGCAGCCTGGGCACTGGGGGAAATGGAGGGCAAGTCCTCCCTGCTTAATGCCTCACCCCCAGGCTTCACGATAATTTTTTGAACAAGGAAGAGAAAATGTTATTAAGCTCCTCCCTCCCCAGACCCACTGGATCTCCAAAAACAGGGCAGGGTGTGGATCCACAGTAGATTATCTCAGAGAACCAACTTCTGGTTCTTTTACGAACTCTTAGTTCTTCCTTATGTTTATAAAGAGGGGGCCAACTCCTTGGACTCAGAGAGACAAATTCTTTGGGTTTCTCTATAGGATAAAGTGAAAGGCAGAGGGGGGAGCTGAGCTGGAATGTACACTGGGAAACAGCAGCGCTGCCCAGGAATGTCACATCACCTGCTGGGGCGGGGTGGGAGGGTGGCGGGAACTGGGGGAGGAGATGAAGGGCCCTTCAGGCAACTCCTTGCCTGGAATTCGCATTCCTCACTCCCACCGAGGCCCAGCTCTAGGCCCAGCCGGCACTGAGGTCGGGGGGAGGAGGGGAGTAAAGGGGCAGGAACACGACTTCGGCAGCTCAGAGCTATTTGCAGTTAGTTGTCAGCGCTGGCCCAGCCCTCTAACTTGCCACCTTCTCAGCTTTCCTGATGCCCAGACCCCTCTGGCTTGTCTTTAAATCACCCCCTTCCTAGTTCCCAGCTCACTCACCATGTCTCAGCAGCTCAGGCCAGTCAGCAGCAGAACTCGCCTAGTCCGTCTCCTCCGAGGGCGGCCCTGAGTTCACTTCCTGCTCCAAGTTTCAGCCCGCCTCCCCTCCTCCCCACCTGACAGCCCGAGCGGCTCCAGCCACACCTCACGCAGGTTCCTCCAGGTAGGCGGGCACCCTCCTCTGCCCTCCCAGTCTCCTCCCAAACCCAGGCTCAGGCTTAAAGCAACAAGACTCCCCGGCACCCAGAGTCTTCTAACTTGTCAGGAATCAGAAAAGAAAGAGGAAGCAGCCCGCCCAGGTTTCCTAAAGCTGTACCGCTGATCCAGAGAGGGCAGCCGGCTTCTATCTATGTCCAAATATCTGACTCCAGTTTGTAGAGATTGAAATAAAACTGGGATGGGACAGTAAGCCCCCTGCCAGGCCTGGTTCGCATGAAAGCAGAAAGCAGATATGAACTTTTTTTTTTCTTTCGCTTTTTAAAATGTTTTTTGTTTATTTTTTTTATCTTTAGAGATGAACATTTCTTGCTGGACAGCCCTTGCTCCTGTCTGTAGATGGGCAGAGAGCACT